GCCCCTCTCCGCCCTCCCTTCTATCGCTCACACGCCCCTCTCTTCGATCCGGAGTCGAAGGTATATAAATCCTCAGGCGGGATCGTCGTCGAAAAATAAGATAAAAATCTCACGGCATATATCCGGGTTGAACGGGGGAAAATGGTGGAAAAGGCAAATTCCCGAATAAACACATCCGTGCCTCTTTATGACGGCACTTTGTGAATCCATCCCCGCTCGACGCGGTTGTGTACCGCGCGCATTATTAACTCAACCACCGGAAAATGTCAACGTAGGCAGAGCCCTTTTCTTATCTCTTTGCTTTTCTTTATTTTATCACTGCCGGCACCCTCTTCATCTCGCCCTTTATTTTTATCGTTTTGTTCGACCTCGTGCCACGAATCCAATCTGGAAATGATACCTTCCGCTGATTATCTTTGCAGAATATCTTCCGCGTATTCGCCGTTTTCCTTTCGCTGTAGAAACTGTTAAATATTTCGACAAACATGTATAACAATCGTAATCTTGTGATTTTCTAGAAATGTTATAGATACCGCAAATACAGACACGTCAGAGAACACGTCTATAGTGTGCATTCGAATATTTCATGTAGATCGATATAGCTATCCGCTTTAAATGCTTGATAATTTTAAGTTCTCTCCTTTAAGGAAACGGAAATCACGAAATCGGTTTGCGTACGCGCAATCTGGAATAGACGACGACTCGGCACGCGGAGATACGATATCGGATTTCCAAACGTTTTAATCACCGTTTTTCTTTTCCCCGTCGCGATTTTCTTTCTCTCCCACCGACGGGGAGGGGGAGTTCTCTCGCGGAAAGGAGTTATCACCGAAGGAAGCTACGGGCAACCGACGGTTGGCGTAGACCCGGAAAGGGGCTGGAGGCGCCCTGCGGGGGTTAAAACGACCCCCGCAGCCGGGGCTGAAGTCTGAAAGATAAGGTGCCCCTCTTCTCTTCTCTCGGCCTCCTAGATTATGGAATGGCACTTTAATTACACTAATGGGAGAACCAAATGTTAATTACAATTCGAAGTCTAAAAGAGAGACGATTCGCGGGTCCAAGGAAGAGAAGAAGCTTGGCGAGACGGAATAAAAGATAGAGGCTCCGTGAGGCGGGATGGCCCAGGAACAGAACGAGATGAGATTTGCCTGCGCAGGAGGGTTGCCTTCTGTGATTAGTATTATTTAATTAAAAATGCCCGATCTCTCACTATCATCTCTACGCGTAATGTCACGCGACAAGATTTCGAAACTCGCTGAGACGTAGTCGATTATTCCATGCTATTACATTGGCATTCATTGTGTCGTATCAGCCTGGGAAATCATAATATACGGCATCATTTAAACTCTACGTTGCGCGAAAATGGCAGTGCAAGCATCGTATTAGCGCCATAACGACGTAATAGCTTCCGCGTCTTTACAAGCATCATAGTTTCTGTTTTATTTTTCTTATTCTCAATCTTTTATCTATATATTATACAAAAAAATCCTATCAATGTTCCTTAGTGTCGCGAACTCATTTCATAAAAAATTGTGGTTCATTTTAATGGAGAGATTAACGCGGAAAGGTGGCATTGTTTTTTTAATGAACTTATAACGTATCTGGAATAATTAAAGTGTAAAATTTAATTAAATCGGTATTACGAAGTGATTAGGTTTCTTGGATGCTTTCACACATGCATTCATTAAAAACGTTTTCAACGTTTGACTGCAATCTCTTAGTGCCAACACGACGACACGCCGCGAGACAACGACGATGACGATGATGACGGCGACGGCGACGAGTATCGACGAGAGGCGATGCGGGTGTCGGGCGAGTTTCAATTTAAAGTTGGACGAACGTGTCGGGATTTCAATGTACAAAATGCGTATGCTAAACTCTTCGCACCCCTCGTGGCGCGCTTCTCTCCGTCTTCTCGGGGCTGAGAGCTCCGACAACCGGGGCCCTTGACGGGCGCCGGTGGACAAGGTCCACGCCGACGTTGCGACGGCAAAAATCAGCAAGTCTGATCAGTGGCGCCAAGTAGAAAGGGGCGCAAGTAGAACGCCGCTTGTTGTAGCATACCCGCACGCGGGACGAATGTCCCGCGTGCACTTTGAAGTTCGTACCCCAAAGGACAAATTACTTTTTCGAGGCGGTCACCCGGCCTTGAAACCCTTACAGAGCGCCCTTAGATCCCTTTAATGATCGCGGCTACCGATCGAAGGTAATGCATATCAATGGACGGGACGGTGAAACAAACGTCCGATACGCCGATAGTTCCTAATGACTTTCTGAATTTTACTTTTTAAAATGTCTTCCTCCGCGTCGCGGCTCGCCTTTTGAGCACCCTCGACGATATTATTACCGTGATTCAAAGGCTCAATATAAACTTTATAACGTTGGCCAGAATTACGGGTGCATCTCAATACAGCTTCAAAGGGTATTATTCTTTCGTCGATATACATTTTGTTAGAGAGAGAGGAAGAGAGAGAGAGAGAGAGAGAGAGAGTGCAGTCTTTATAATAATACACGTATTATACTTTGAAAAAGATTACATACTTTATGTAGTTATAAAAAATCATGATTTCAAATTAACTGTTCATAAAATTATGTTAACATTAATTATTGTTTTATAATTAATCATTATCTTGCCTTGATTATTTTCTGTTATCAAATGGTGAAACAAATGCATTTTTTAAAATTTAAGAACGGTTCCTTGCACGATTTGAAACGAACGTCGGTGTCCGGAGTTTCGTATTTCTTTATTTGTTGACCAATGTGTTAAAACGAACGTATTCATAAATCTACGTTTAAAGTATTCACACACTTATATATGCGTACGTGTATACGGGAGCATATATGCATACGTCGGGTCAGAAGGACGAAATAGATCGAAAAAGATGCTTCGATAGGACTCTGTCTTAGGTCGGCGAGAAGTTTTGCTTCAAGAGTTGGATTACCGCGCGGCTACGGGTGGATTTGAAAATTGCGGGGCCCCCAGGGCTCCTGGGTAGGACGGTGTGGCAGGGTAGAGCGTGATTGATTTTGCATACGACACAGATTGGACAGGTTTGAGAAATTGGACTGGCTTTCTGCCTGGTTTAGCCTCTTCACCTCTCTCTCTCTCTCTTTCTTCGTTGCTCTCTTGCTTGTGCCTACCCCCTTCTCTCTATCTTTCCTTTTCCATCATTTTCCTTCTTTTGCACTATGATACATTCGGACCTTGCGTTCGTGTATGTTACACGCGTGCGTGCATGTAACTCGCGTATACTCGCCATATCACGTGCGTATTTCTACGCGGGTCGAAGAAGGGTTCCCTCCCGTATCTCTTGCAGGGAATGTCGAAGGGGATTGGCCTTGAACGAGCGATTTGTGCGATCTTCGAGGATGTATTTATGAGCATTCTAGCCACCCCCGCCTGAACTTTCATATTACGCTCGCCATTTTAGAGAGTCAGTCTTGCGTGTAGTGAGTTACCGTACACAATATATACGCGTGCATATTTTTGCATTATTTCTCACTTTTTTTTCTTTATTAAATATTCTTTTACAATAATTTTATAAAATATAATACAAATAAAAACTGTAATGCAAATAACAAAAGATATAATTTCGTTAAGTGATTCATAGATCTTATATTCAAGATCGTCTTGAATTTATCTAAAGACGCTGTACGGAACATTTCGTTGGTTACGGAGTATCCAAAGGTGATCTTAAGACGATCTTGAATATAAGATCTGACTATGAATGCCGTCGACTGTGAACGCTGCAAGATACGCGAATGTTTCCGTACATTTCACGAATCTTTTCGTTGAATTTACACCGCATTAAATATTTTCCGTTTGTCTCGGCGCAAAATAAATAGGACTGTTACACGATGAGACTTTTTCACGGTAGATGGAAAACGTGCAAAATGCGCGTCTCAAAGCGGTACAACGTGTGATCATGCGGGAAGGCTGAGGAGGGATTGTTGAGCCATCCGGGGTCGCTCTCGTCTGGCGTTATCCGCCGACGTCGGAGTGGATAACAGGCCGAACGATTTATTCTAAACCTTTATCCGGGGGCGCCCTCCAAATTTATGAAAGAAGACGCCCGTTTAACCGACTCGCTCAGTCATCCCTCACCGCGGTGGTGAAGCCACCCTTCCCTCCCCTGTCTTCCACGCCTCTCTCCGTTACTCTCGCGGAGCTCCATCCCGCTTCGGCTTCTCCCTCGGCTTGGCTCGGCTCTCCCGCTGCGCTCGCATGTCAGCCCTTTATTTTATACCGAAGCGAGTCAGTCCGATTTGGTCCTAATATTAAAGGGGATGTCTTGGCCTCGGCACGTGATCGGGATGCCAAATCTCTCCGATACGACCGCGATTCTAGTCCGAAACGAGCTTCGGACAATTGCGAGCTACGACGCGTCGTGTTTCTTCTCGATGGTTGCGATTATGCATATTAATTCATTCGACTTCAAGGCAGCGCGTTACTTGATTAATTATACAACGCATACGTTACCTAAAATATAATTTTTTTAATAAATATAACTTATATTACTTTGTGATAACTGCAAATATATAACATAAGTATATATAAGTGAGAAATTAAAATTGAGATACATTTTTATGTATAAATAGAAAAGAGAGAATATTAGTTTCAGTTTCTATTTAAACGCAATATGATTTGTATATTTCTTATTGCGCGTTGAATCGGACATTACAGTAAATTTACACGTTTCTCTCAAGTAATTGCATTTATCTCACAAAGTGACACTTCACTCACAACGTCCGTACTTCTAATATAATAGCGATCAAAATAATGGATTTGAACGTTGTCATTTGCTGCTTACAAGTGAATTATTCGCTCGTTTTATGATTCCAAATAGCGCACTTAGGCTCGACTTTAGTCACGACACACCTGTCTTCCCACATTACAAAACTCGTTCTTAATATAGTACAAGCAATTAAAGAAATGCTTCGCTTATAAATTAGGATTGACGTCGGAGGAATAATTTCACGTAATTCGTTTCCTTTTGCAGTTATATCTGAGCAAAACACGGCAGGCTGCCTTCTCGGCCGACTTGCAGCAGTCTCTCTCACGAACAGTCAGTCCAACCGCACGCCAGCAAGGTAAGTTTTTACATTACTATTTTTGCAGCACGCGAGCCATTCTCCCTCTCTCTCTCTCTTTCTCTTCTGCTCTCATATTTTTGCGACCAAATGAAGAATGATTTATCGCGCAATATCATTCGGCCTGTGCTAGAATGGTCCTAGCCGTTTTTTCATCGCTCTTGCGAAACTTTCGGTGCACGTGCAATTTCATTGCTTAATATCCGAACGATCTATTTTCCTGTCTCGTGAGAGGATGCGTTCCGTTGCACCGACGAAATGTTACCCAGGCGTGAAGCTTTGATAAGAACTTTAGTTTATGTACATTTCACATAATAAAATTCACTCGTTTATTATAAGTTTCTAATTTCAAATAGAATTTTACTAAAAACTGGCTACTTGAATTTTTGCTCCAATTAAATTAGTTTCATTCTACCAAGAGAATAATGAATTATTTATTTTGTTAAACAATTATTTGAATTATTTTTTTCATAAATGATTTACGGACAAACTATTTCACCGAACGATTTTTTTTATATGTAATATATAATATCGTCCATCAAAAAAGGAAAGTTTTGCTGCTTGGCAATAGGGTCGTCTATCGTTTATCAATAAATAATCACGCAGCTACTTTTTTTTACGTCTTACGATTTTCATGGGCTCGATTGTGACAAGAAGAACGACGGTCGAAAGTACTTACGGGACTTTCGCCACATACAGTCCCTCGACGGAGAATGGCATAAATAATTTAATGAACCGGGAAATTGATGTGATTATGCTTCCTAAGAATAACGTCCTGCTTCCAGCGGGCAAGACGCGCGCGGAATTTAAGAACGTAACATCACGACAGTGGTATCAGGGCTTTCATCCGGGGCAAAAATCGCGTCGAAAGTGATCTCTCATGATAATGGCACGTACTGCGATCAAACTTTTTTCTTTCCCCTTCGTAGAAAATAGTTGTGGACGCGAGTACGCCGCCGTCTATATACGGGCCGCGATTATAAGCGACCTCGGTCACTTTTCTGTCTATGCGTTCTGGCTGAATTATCAACGATTCGTTTCCCTTTCCAATCGCATTGGAAAGGAGCTACGATTTAGTCAGAACTTTTCAGTAGATAATATTTCGAATGTATGAATTACGCGTAATCATTTTTACTCGTTTATATTATATTTAAGGATATTTGAGTCATAATTCAACAATCGTAAGTAAACAAACTAGATTTACATACAAGTATTTGTAGTTTTAGATAAAAATTGAGGTTAAAAAATAGATATACTACACGCGAAAGATAAAATGGAGAGCTTAGCTTTTCGGTTGAAGCATTGCTGATTGATCTTCGTAAATCCACTTCACTACTGAATTCCGATCTGCATTGGAGCCTCAAGGGCCGGTCAAACGGCCGGGCTCGGCGCTTTCGGAAAGACGAGCGGCGCTCGAGTGCTGGAAACAAAAGCCCGACGTTTCAATTAGGCCCTTTATTAGTTAGCGATAATAGGGCCAGCAGCGGTCGGACCGACACTGGTCTGACCGGATGGCTGGTTGGCGCTTAACCGGAGGTTACGGTGGCTTGTTTGCGCGGATCCGGCTCTCACGATATTAAGGGCTGACTAGGCAGTCTCTCTACCTCCTTGATGTTTAGAATCACCCTTACCGGCGCTCTCGTGGCCCTTTCTCGGATCCGGGCTGGGAGAAAGGCCGTCGGAATCCTCGCGCCTTGCTGGGCCGCGCCGATTGATTTTCTTGCGCGTTGTACAAGTTCACGAGGATAAGCGGAGAAGTCGAGAGAGACGCGGCTCTCCGACGGTGGACGGGTGGAGCGACGAGGCGCGCAAGAGCGAGGAGAACCGGGGGCGAAGCGGTCGAGCCGGGAGGAGGAATTTGTCGCTGAGGAGTGCAGGTCGCAGCAGTCGCCTGCGGCGAGCCGCAACGATCCTCTCGTCCCGTCTGTCGCACTTTACCGCACGATACCGGAGAGAGTGAAAGAGAGAGGAGAGAAGGAGAGGGAAAAGGGAGGGGGAGGGGGAGGGAGAGGGAGAGGGAGAGAGAGAGAGAGAGAGAGCAGGCTGCTACTGCTATTGCTACGGGACCGTTCGAAACTAACTTAGGGCCGCTGAAACTACACTCGCTTCCCGCGCCGCAAAACGAGCGGCACGGCTAACAAGGCGGGTGCACGAAATACATTGGATATTGATTCGCGAGGGAGAGACGACGGGGCAGAGCGCTCTGAGAATATTTCTTGGACATTCAGCGCGCGATAAATAGAAAGTACGACTCCATGCGCCTGGGAGTTGCAGCTTTTAACGTTATCCCCCGGTTGGAAATTTGTAGAATAACAGCATGCGCTCTGTGCTGTGACACGTGTCACGACGCGTTTGCTGACCCAGCTCCAAACGGCAGCACGATGTTGATTAATCTCCAGAGCTGTAACACTCTAAAACTGGCTCTGATTTATCGAAATGCCGTAGCTATCTTAATTTGCTTTCGGAATTGACGCGCAATTGATCCATCGCGATGATCCATTAACGCGTATATCGCAGTAATAAACTGGCGTTCTCCATGTTGTCGCGCGCACGGCTGTCCACGTGGCCTGGCAAATTGCATTTATGTCACGTCGTCTCGATCCATGTAGTCCGCAAAATCGGTTTTAGTGTAAACGAGGAAAGCCGGGCTAAGGGTCTCCGGGCTGGGTGGGTAGGTGCGGCGGGAGAATGGCTGCGACATCTTGTATTGTCAGATCCCAACGCGACAAATTCATAATTGCGTTAATGCGGGTACGGCGAGGGTTCTTGCCGCAACCACCGCAAGGCGCGCCATGGCGTCTTGCGGCTGTAAGAGAAGACGATATAGCACACAGAAGGGGGCGAGGCGGGTCGAGCGGCGGGAGGCGGTGGAGAGCGGTCCCTTCTGGTACGGGCTCGTTAATCTTCGGAGGATTACGCCAAGGAAGTATCGCCATTGTGCCGGGCGCTCCTCTTCGAGTCGATAATTATTAATTAAATTGGCCGAACGGGCCACTCCGCGATTTATCGACTTATCGAGCGCGATTTTACGGCGATACCGCGGTTAGGAAACATGTAGCAAATTTTTTTTAAATAAATATCTAAGTTTGCCAACGTGAACATGTGAACATCAGCATGTTTATATACTAATTGGATTAATTCTACATATGGCAAAGGGTTGACTGGCATACACTCTCAATAATTAGATTTTACACTTGAGCCTCTTCACGTTTTCTCTCCATTACATAATTTTTTTTTACGAAGCGAGAGTTTGCTTATAGTCACCAGTGATGAATAAAAATTAAAACGGGAAACTTACAGCCACCACGACTGGCATATTCCTTTGTTTGTTTAATACAACGTTTCGACCCTATCTTTTGGGTCTTTATCAAGTAGTACTAAGTGAGTCATCGTCGTCACATAAGACAGAGTCGATTTACAAAAATACGTGTACATGTGAGCACTGCTGGGCTCGAACGCTCGATAAGGATCCAAAAATAGGGTCGAAACGTTGCATTAAACAAACAAAGGAATATGCCAGTCGGGTTGACTATAAGTTTCCCGTTTTAATAATGTTTTTTACTATAATTAACAAAATTGCCTAATCGAGTTATAAAAATTATAATATTATTCCACCACGGTTATTATATATTCTATTTCTATTTCAATCAAATGTACGTTTAACAAAACGTAGATGCTTTCACGATATTACAATCAGGCAGAAAAGTTAGTTTGCACTCCTCATACCCGCCGGGATTAAACCAATAGTCCGGTCGTTCCAAGCGTCGGAAACGCGCCGACCAATGCTGGAAATGAAAGGCCGGCCGTGAAAAAGCTCAACTTGTAGGTGCTTCATTTCAGTTGGCCGTGGACAATTGAATCATCGTCAAATCGTAGCGGGAGGGTCATCAAATCTGCACGAACGGGCACGACGAGAGAGAAAGGGTTGCACGCCGGCCGGTCGGCACGGTCGGTCGGGAGTGAAGAGGATGGAATTGCGGAGGAAAGCGGGAGAGAACGGCGACGAACGAACGGGCCGAAATAAAACAGTGATATCGAGGCATTTCACGCACGAGCGAGAGCGTTTAGCAGATTCAACGTGCGTGCCGGCACTCCGCCGCGTTTCCCTGCCGCGGTGAAACGTCCCTCTCTCGTTTCCCTCCCACCTCGATGGCACTCTCATTCTCTCCATTTTTCTCTCGCTCGCTCCTCTTAGCGCCGCTCTTTACCCTTTTCTCTCTTGCTCTATCACCCTCGCCATGGGCCTCGCTGAAAAATACTGCTCTCGCTGACACCTGTAGCTTCGACATTCTACATATGTGCGCACGTAGCACATCGAGCTGCCGGCGTCGACGAGTGGAAGGAACGAAGAACGATGAAATTGATAGTAGATGTCGAAAATCGTCATAAAGCCCGTCGAGCGTCAAAAAAATATCAAGCGTGTGATCGAATAGCGTAGCTTATTTCGACCGAACTATTGCGACAGGCATTTAATATGTCGAGAAACAATCACCTCGCATATTATAGCAGATCACACAAACTTGGTTTTTACAGTCAACTGATAAGCTTCCTGGTTTCACTGTGTGCCGTTACAATTCGTTGCTTCAGAGCAGCTTGGCTCATAGTTATAATTTATCGAAATGCTTACGAGGAATTCGTTATTGAAGATCAAAATTAAACAAGATTTCTATTTTGGATTTTGTAGCAAAACTTTGTATCGTTTTTCAGGCGCGCTTGAGGGGGTTGTTAGGAAAACAAGTTTCACAAGTGGTAGAGTGTGCAGGATAAAATCAATCCTTATAATTATTTGCGATTATATTTTTTTGCTGCAACCATCTACTTTGTTCTACACGTCATCTTATGGCTAGATTGCTTTCTGGTTCTCTATGTAGGAACTCTACTATTATATGATTATGACGATATGTATTAGGTGACAATTTCGATCGTTTCTTTTGAGAAGCTTCGATTTATGAGAGAATCTTTAAACGTTCACGGGCTGTTAACTATTTTAAATTGAAAAA